CTGAGAGAGAAGAGAGAAGACACAGACAAGAGCCTTGAGGGAGAGCAGAGTATTTGCAATAGTCATTTTGGAAAATGACTGCAAGATCTAACTGGAAAAACACTGCAGGATTATCTGTTAGCACAGAGGGTTCAAGTGAGATCAAAGGCTTTGATTTGGGGACACCATTTAGTGGGAATGTTATGTGATTTTCCTCCAGCCTCATTCAGTGGGGGCAGGAAAAGCAGCTGAAATGTTGCCAGTAGGAATTAACTCAAAGTTGAAGGCAGAAGGGCAAGGGAATACAAAGAGGGTTTGAGGAAGAGACTGATTGAAGAAATGAACCATAATGTCTAGGCCACCTTCAGATGGAGTGGAGATTGGCAGGGCTAGTAAGAGGACCAAAGAAATGCAAAGAAAGGCTCAAAGAATAGCTGTTTGGGGGTAAGAGATAAATATCTTAGATGATGAGAGGGTGTAGAGATTTAACAATCATGTGGTCCTAATTTAAAAGATACTCTTAGATACTCACTATACCCCCCAAACCCCACTTTAGGGGCAGCATGGGATGCAGGCTGGAACCAGGAAGTTATGATCAGGATTGTCTCTGAGATTCTTTAAATGGATGCATGGAGACAGAATGCTTCTTTTCTCAGCTCAAGTGGTGAAGACCATGTAACTGCCTGTGTCCATCTCTTCTGGTGTCCTGGTGAAGCCCATGTGCAGGAAGATAAAGTGAGGCCAAGATGGCAGGCAAAGACAATCACAATCAAGCAGAGATAAGAGGAGAACTGAAGTAGCAGGAACTCAGACAAATTCTGAATCCTTTGCATCTAACCAGTCTAAAGCTAATCTACTCCAGAATCTTTTAAATGAGTCCCCAAAATTCTCTTCTCTGTGTAAGTCAGCCTAAGTAGAATTACTGTAGACTGCAATATAGGCTGTGAATTAATGAAACCAAAGGAAAGTACGAGAACTGCAAAGGCCCAGGAACTAGAGATATGATAATATTGCCTGTGTTGGCCTTATGGGCATTAAAGTCACCCAAGATGAAGGCAGTACTTGATAGGGTGGAGAAGTCACCCATGAACCATTTGCAAGAGTCTTAAAAAGGGAGAATAGATAGGATGTTAGTAAATAACCACAATGAGGACCAGAAGAGAGTTATGTACAATTATTAGGAGCCTAAACAGAGCAAAAATTTTTAGATAAAGACAAAAGGATGATGGACTAGAAGCTACATGAGAGGAAAAGAAACACAGAGACCCCAGTTCCTGGTGAGAAGCAGAGTGCAGAGCATGACAATGTGGGTATAATCACTACAGCACAGGGTGGTGGAGGCTTCCTGGTCATGGTTATGTAACCATTAAATGCTTCCCCAGCGAAAATTACATTCCACTTCTGAGACCTTAGTATTGTTAGAATATCAATAATATAGACTTGCTTAAGTGTTCTTCAACCCACCAATCCTCAGCCTTGAATCACTCACTGTTCATCTATAAAACAGGCTATATCACAAAGCTGAAAATGTAGATAAATTACACTTAAAATTTTTTCCTAATTAAGACACTTTATGCTTGCATTTGATGTCTCAGACAGTGACTAGCATAATATCCTCAGAAGCAATTATCACTCAAGTGTATTTGGTAGAAGAGATAGTATTAAATATTTTTAAATCATCTCTAAAAATCACATTGACCTAATGAATTTTACTGAGCAACATAAAATATACATGGATATTGTAAAAGAACAAAGTCAAACATAAAAATATGAAGCTGGCCTGCCAAATCCGGAATATGCTGCAGAAGGAAAGCCAACAACCCTACTGGCATTTTAACGAGGAAATAAATAACCTTAGTAAGGATTTTCAGACACTCCGGGTGCATGTGAATGCTGCCCCAAATCCTTAAGGGATGAAGAACTGGAGGAAAAGGAAATTTGACGTGACCATGACCCGCGTGGCAAGGGAGTGCTTTCTCTCTCTTTCTTTGATGAGCAAATGAGCCCTCTGGCAACACAAAATTCAAAAAATATTTTAATAAGTAAAGGATTTTGCAGCTTGTACAAATGACAAGTAGTTCATGTGTAGGTGAATGATTTAATGTACAGAATTTATTTATCTCATTCTCTGTACCCATTCCACTCAAGGTCTCTGAGGGTTATTTTCAAATTTTTTAGTATTTCTATACATATTAGAGATTATTGTATACCCACGTGAGTCATACCATAAAACTATTGTAGAAACATGTATTTGAACAAATGAAATGTAATTTCTTATAATGAAAAGAAACTACAGTACTAATCACTATGGACGATTTCAGTCCCTTTTGTGGATTCTGACATATAATAAATGACAAAGCACAAATGGAAAAATACATTTTATTTATTTTTTAATGATACTGATTAAAATATTTTTGAATTATGTAGAAAACAAATTTACAGAGGCAATAAATCAAATTTATTAAAGTCTATATTTGGAAAATGAAAACAGAGAACATACAAAAACAACCCTCCTCCATCCACACCCACCTCCCATGATACATTTGTGGGTGCGTGTTCCTGGGAAAAGCAGAGTCCTTCAGCTCCGAGAGCCGGTGAAGTTACATCTCCACACCGTGAGTGTGGGTCCTTAGCACTGCCTCTTTGGAGCATTCGAGGAGCTTCCAGAGATTGTGGATGTCCTCTTAATTCGAGGGTGGCTCTCCTGCCTCTGGCCAGTCTATCCAGTGTCCTCAAGCAGAGCTGACAGGTGTGCTCACTGGCTTGGCAAATGCACACTGAGGCGAAGGAGAGAGCCAGGCAGATACGACCTGCCCTCGTGCAGAGCCTGGTCTCTCCCTCTGTGTGGTCTGTCATCCAACCTGTAAGCGTCCAACTCATTTCCTTCCTTTCAGATTTCTCATTTTCTCTCTTTTTTTTTTCTCTCACCATCCATTCAACATGCATTAGATAATAGTTTTCTTCTAAAAAGATCCTCACTTTCTCGCCATCTTATCACTTATTTTCTGGCACGTTATGGATTCTTGGATTTTTAATTATTTAAAGTAAAACAATCAATAGCAGTGAATATATCAAACTAAAAAGTTTTCAAAATAATTTTAGCATCATTTAGTCCTCAGTCCACATCCAAGTTTACCCAATTATTACAGGAATATTTTTATGCTTTTTTAAAATCCAAACTAGGAACCAATCTGGCTTCAAGCTTTGCAATTGAATGTTAGGTCTCTTTCATCTCATTTAGCCAAGAAGCACCCCATGCTTTGTTTGTGAAACTGGCTTTTTAACCTTTTGTGAACAGTTTATTGTATTTTTTTTAGTCTCTCCTGAGGTTCAGGTTCATTAGATCTATTTATTTTCCTTTCCTTTAATAAGACACTAGTATTTCTTTCAGGGACATTTTTTTAAAAATGCATTTCCTATAGTAGAAATAATGTAAATTTCTCAAAAGAGTAAACTCCTTTTTCTCAGAAGATTTAATTATATTAATAATTAATATTTGTGTTTTTGAGAAATTTGGGGTATTTGAGAAAAATATTGGTAACATAGAAAGTTGAAAGGAAAGCCAAAAGTGATAGAAATTTATAATAAAATCCTGACCCTTATACCCTCGATTTGAGTGCATTTGAGTCATTGGTGGATAAAACTTCATCTTAAATATTTGGATCCACATTAAAGCTTTCATTTTTAAAGACTCGAGATCAGACCTATTCAAACATTACAAATCACTGCAGATGTGATCTAGCGGCAGTATCTTAAATAGGTACATTTCTTATACGTCTTATCCAAACCTTTGTACATCTTACTATCTTACCCAAATCAATTGAGTGCATTGCTTTAAAAAAAAAATAGATCGTATAGATTACACTGTTAAATCTATAACTTTGGGACTCTGGTTCTTGATTTTAGTTATTGTTGTTGTTTACTAAAGGACGCATGTGCCCTGGGTAGGGAAGGGTAGTGAGAAAGCATCCCCAGGGGGAATGGTCATGCAGCAATCCCTACTCCTCCATTCTCCTCTCAGAATTTTGGGCAGGCACGCACACACTGAGTGTGTTTTTCAAGGTACTGGGTCAGGGACTTGAACTGCACAGTCGGCCATGTGGGACCCAGCCAACCAGCTGGCTCTAATTCTTGATTTTAGGACTATTTCTCTTCCTTTATTCAGGAAACTTCTACCAGAATTAAAGAATCAGGAGAAACAGACTATAGAACAGTAAAGAAGGTATGGTCTTTGACACAAGGCCAACATGTAGTCCATCTTGGTTCCATCACTAACCAAAAGATTTGGGTAGTTAACATTGTCTCTGAGCCCAAAGAAGGGTGTAAAATAAAATCATCAAAGCTTCTACATATGGTTATTGTGACAAATTGGCTAGCAAAGAGGCAGCCTGTGACCTAGTAGTTAAGGGAACCAGAGCCCATGTGGCTGGCTGTGTGATTTGAATCCCAGACCCGGTGGCTTGAAAAACATGCCAGACATATGGTCATGCCACAGATCCTGACAGGATGGAGAAATGGAGAAGAGATTGCAATGTATCGAGCCCCACAGGTGGGGGGGGGGCCTTTCTCTCCCTCTTACTTTCTCTCTGTCTCTCTGTGGCAATGCACACAATTTAAAACAATGGCCAGCAAAGCCCAACTCATAATAGATACTACGATATACTATGAGATACTATAACTCTTATCTATTATTAGTTAAATGTTAATTCCCTGTTTCCATTTCTCAATCTAAATAATGCAATGTAGTAGAATTCTTATGGATCCCAAAGTGCCAAAAATAACATGATAGATTTTTGGTTTTTTTTTTTTTTTTTTTTTTGTAGGTTTTTGCCATGGGGCACACACTCACTTGAGAGAGACAGAGAGAGGAAGAGTGAAAAATCACTCCCTAGAAGGATGGTCATACCACAGTCCCTTCTGCTCCATTCTCCTCTCAGGATTTTGGTCATGCATATACATGTACCCAGCATGATTTTCAAGCCAAACTAGGATTCAAACCAATGTTGACAATGTGGGAGTCCAGCATCTCAACTACCACACCACCTGCTGGACCCCATAATAGGTGTTACTAGTGCTAAATCTTTATCTAAAGGCCATTCCTATGAAATCCTTTCTTTCTCTCCATTGAAACATTCTTGCTAACTTATCATAATATAAAATTTCCTTACATTAAATGCATTTCAAAGATGTGGGGAATTTGTAATATTGAGAATTGTGTGTGTCCCATCTCTTAGTTCCACCTCCCTCAAGCGATATGGTATTTAATGGAGAAGGTTCACGTGCCCTTGTGGGTATCTATCTTTCCCAGTAGTCACATGTTTGAGGCAGGCACAAGTGACAAAGTGATGCTGATGTGAATGGACCAGTCTCTCAAGACATTTGATTATTTCATAGTCAGGAAGAGCCAGGCTGGTCATGTTCAAGCCCAACATCTGAGAAACCACCTCCCTGAAGTCCACCAGCTGCAATATCAAACAGAAACACATTACCTGAGAGAACAAAATAAATTACCTCTGATGCCTCTTCAGGCACCAACCTTCAACAATTTCATAATCACTTTTCTAATGAGACAAGTAATGTGGTACTGGGTACCAGATCCCAGCTAAGCAACCACAATGAGGTTCTGACTTTACTAAGGCTTTATATTCTCCTCTCCAGGTCAGGGCTAACCACATACCTACCATAGAAGACTGTTCTGAAAATCGAAACAAACAAAATGAAGAGTGTGTGCTCTACACACTAGAAAGTGTTACACAAACGTTGGTGTTGCTGTGTTAGTGAGTGATAAACACTTATGCCTTGGCATTTTAACTTGGCAATGAATCTCTCAGGCTAAAAGAACAAATGGTGAGAAAGTATGAGCTAATGAAAATGGGAAGATGTCTAGATCATTATCTAATCACTGCACAGACTGCCACCTGACAGCCCATACCACTGGACTGCTTTGGAATTACTGTTTGTCCACTTGAAAAGGAAAAAATAGACTAGAGACAATGAAATATACCCCCTTTCCATTCTTAGGCTGGTTTCTGCAGTTCAAGGCTAATATAGAAGCAAATAAATCAGGGATATTTATGTATATATACACTTCACTACATGTACCTTCATTTCTAGAAAAGATGTGTCTAATTTGAAGCAAAGTTACGTCCAGGAGAACACCATCCAAACATCCTCACCCCAAGTTCATATGCTTCCCAAACTCCTTCCCATGCAGACTCCAACTTGGGAAATATGTTCTCTCCAGCTGCCATGGTCTGAATGTGTTCTACAAAATTTGTATTTGAAATGTCACATTTGTACTGACAATGTGACACTAGGTGGGGCCTCTGGGATGGAACCCTTATGATGGGATTAGTGCATTTATAAAAGAAGCCCCAGAGCGCAGCTTCGTCCCTGCCACCACCTGAGGACACAGCAAGGTGCCAACTCTGAACCAGAAAACAGGACCTCACCAGACACCAAATCTGCCGGCACCTTGGTCTTGGACTTTCCAGCCTCCAGAACTGTGAGAGATAAATTTCTGTTGTTCCGAAGCCACCCGGTCTATAGTATTCCATTAAGTAGCCTGAATGAACCTGCCTAGTCTCCCTAGTGGAAAAGTTTTCCAACCTTTTGAATGAGGCCAAAGCTCTTAATTCCTGAGAGGTTTCCTCTCTGAGTGCTCACCCATAATTTGACTATTCCCAACTCTGTCTGACACATGAGCCAAAGCAGAGGCAGACAAAGGGGGGTGGGGGGAATCCTAGGATCAGAGTCCACTCTATGCCCTTTTGAGCTTCAGACAAAGACTGAGATGAGAGTCAAAAGTTCTGGGGTCAGGCTGCCCAGTACACATTTCTTCATGCCTGACCTGATGTACTCACCAGATAAAATGCTTCCCTTTCAGCCAGTGAGTGCATGAGGACTCTTTTATGGCTTCCATCTGTATTGGGTTGGCCATCAAGTCTGTGTGCCACTGTTTAAGATTTGGGGCTGTTTCCTACACCTGATCTCTGCTAGAGATAACACTTCACTGTCGAGGCTATAGACTATATTAAAAGATCTGGGAAATGCAGACTGCAGAAGCAATCACCAAACAGGAAAACCTTGTCACAACCATAACCTGGTTTTTCACTACCTTCCCACTGCTTTGATAAGGGTGTCTTTTCTTCCCTCCAAGTCATGTCATGAAGATGTGAAATATTTTCCTTAGAAAGGTAAATCATAAGACTTATTTGAGTGCCAAAAATACGCTGGAGGTTTGAGTGGATATGTTGAAATACAATGGAAAGCTTCATAGCTTGTTTTGGAAGAAATGTATGAATAGTGCTTGCTTCTGTAGCACATACACTAAAATTAAAATGATACAGGGAAGATTATAAAAGATGCACAGATTTGTGAAGCATTCCATATTCTTTTCACAAAAGAAATGTAGGAATTATAGTTAGAATATATCCACCTAAAATTCATGTGCTGACCTACTGTGATGGGATTAAGAGAGTGAAAACCTAATCCGATTGTCAAAAAGTATCAAAAGGTTGCGTCTTTGGAAAGAGATTAGAATTAAAGTCATTAGGACGGGCCTCTGTGACTGAATTCTGGTAGGTTTATAAGAAGAGGGTCTGAGGACCTGCACATGGTGTAATGGTTATGTCGCTGGACTCCCACATAGTCGATCGTGGTTCGAGTCCTGGACCCAGTGGTTTAAAACTCATGCTGGACACATGTGTTTGTGTGCCCAAAATTCCAAGAGGAGACTGGAGGAGAAGGGATTGTGGCATGGCCATCTCCCCTGGGGGGTAATTTCTTACTTTCTGTCTCTCTGTCTCTCTCTGTCTCTCTGGTGAGTGCACGTGCCCTATAGTAAAAATCTCTCTCTAAAAAAAAAGAAAAAGAAGATACAGGGTCTGAGACAGGCACATGGAACACTGACCACACGCTCCTGCATCCCATATGTTCTGATGCAGCAAAAAGAACCCATCAGAAAGGCTCCTGGGACCTTGGCTCTCTAGACCATGAGCTGAATTAAGCTCGATTATAAAAATCACCCAGTTTCAGGTAATTTCTGTTATTAACCACAAAACAGACTAGAAGAAGTCATTACCAGGTTTTTAAGTGGACATTTCCTAGGCAAAATTTCACCACCAGATTTGTACCCACCTGCTTTTCTCTCTTCTCTGCTTCTTCCAGCGACTTTCTGAGTGTCTTCATTTCACTGGTTACCACTTCTATCATGTTTCTGGCCCTTTCTTTATGTTCTTTAGCCTCGTGCTCTGTAGTGTCCAGCTCTGACTTGACAGATACTAGCTTTCTCTCAGTTTTCTCCTTCATCTTCTCCAGCTTGTCTCTCGATTTATTTAGGTCTTCGATAACTTTAGTCTGTTCCAAAGTTTTAATCTAAGAAGAGAAGAGAGTGTTGATTATTTATTTTGTGTTTAGTTAAGGAAATCATATAAACAAGACAAACCAGAAGTCAATGGGTTTCACTTAATGTTTTTATAAAGAAGGGAATTCATCCCAGCTACACAGCCTTTGTTAAAACTGCGGGACACACATATCTTAAGACGGCTGGCATTTATAAATGGCATACTGGACGGTCTTGATTAGGAAACTCAATGAGATAAAGGGTGACTCAGCATTTGGCTACTGATGGACTGTCAGAAGGAGGGTCACCTGCTTCAGGAGGTCCTATTACAGATCATGGAACCATGGTGAACCGGCATGATTTTCTGGACTCTGGCTGAACACAGGTAATTGAAATCACAATAAGGCAAACTTGCCAAGAAGAACAGCCATATGCAAAATGCCAACAGCTAGGGAAAGGGGACTGAGGGAGCCCTGTAGTCATGAAATGCCACCAGTAGCGTAAGCACCTGAGACAAGAAAGTGCCACCACTAAGAATCAGTGCAGGTCTGCAGGGGCTGACCTCAGGATCATCCATGGACCTCATATTACCAAAACCTATATGTAAATAGGGATGTATATTAGAGATCACTTATGAGAGTACCATCTCAATGTGAATTCTTTTTTTAAGAATTATTTAATTTGGGTGCCAGCAGGTGGCATGTGGTTAAGAGTGGTGGACTTCCTCATGGCCAACCATGGTTCAAATCCCAGACCTGGCAGCTTGCTTTCTCACTTTCCCAGTCTCTCACTGTCCCTCTCTGGTCAAATTAAAAATAAATAAATAAAGTTAAATAAAATAATTCTTTAAAAAATAATTATTTAAGTTTTATTTATCATTATTATTAATATTATTTTTAATTTGCTACTGGGCATGTACACTCACCAGAGAGAGAGAGAAGGAAAATGAGAAAGCAAGCCACGAGGTTCAGGACTCGAACCACAGTCCACCATGTCGGAGTCCAGCATCTTAACCACCACACCACCTGCTGGCCCTCACTGTAAATTATTAAATGAACTGAACATACCTTGGTCACACAAAACAACACGTTTGTTCTTGAGCAATACATAGGAAAATATTTAGAGGTGAAGTGTCAAGATGTTTGCTACTCACTGTCAGACGATTTGGAAAAAATAAAAGCTTTCTCTCTCTCTCTCATTAGGCAAAATACAGTAATAAGTAAAATGTTAACAATCTACATGAAGGGTTAAAAAGAACCCATTATGTTATTCTTTAAAATTGTTGTATTAACTTGAAATCTTCCAAAATAATTAGTTAGGAAAGGAAATGTATTGATCATGAATCCTATCTGTAAAACTCTTTGAATATAGTTGAATATTCACTTGTAAATTATATAAATGAAATTTTGTTCTAAATAATAGTTCTATAGACTATCAAACATTTTACAAATTTGAGCATTATATTGATTTAATAAATACCAAATTTTAAAACAGGTTTATCTTCCTTTAAAACTAATAGATTTTTTTAGTAGGCAAACTGTCTCACTGCTACAGAGAAAATATGTGACAAATTTGGGAAGTTGTTGGGATTGGTATGTTGAATTCAAAACCTCATATTAATAGAAAAGAGATCTGTTCAGCCTTTCTATTCAGACTGGGGAGAACATTTACAGTGGGCGCTCCACCAAAGGTGATGAAACACAGCACAGAGAGCTGGAGCCTCATGAATCAAGTCCTAATGAGAGGAATTCATTGCCAAGAATTTCTGAAAAAAGATAAGACTTTATCACAGTCCTGAGGGTGGCCTGAATTCTTGTCAGAAGGCAAGAGTCAGTGATAGAACTCTGACCCAAGCCTCCAGAACCAAGCTGGGAGCTGGCAGTGGTGACGGAGGCCTCAGCCTCTCAGAGTCCAACCTGGCATCGATTCTTTGGAAAAGGGTGAAACCAAATCAGTTTCTTTCTTTCACTTTTTCTTTCTTTCTTTCTTTCTTTCTTTCTTTCTTTCTTTCTTTCTTTCTTTCTTTCTTTCTTTCTTTCTTTCTTTCCTTCTCTCTCTCTCTCTCTCTCTCTCTCTCTCTCTCTCTCTTTCTTTCTTTTGAGGTTTTCCCCCCTTAGGGCGTGTGTGCTTGCAGGAGTGAGACAGGCAGAGACAGTGAGAAGGAAAGTGGGAAATGGGATGGCCATGCTGCAACCCCTTCTCCTCCCAAGATCTTGGGCATGCATGCACACATGCCCAGCATGAGTTTCAAGCCACTGAGCTCAGGAGTTGAACCATGGTCGGCCATGTGGGAGTTCAGTGGTGTAACCACTATGCCATCTGCTGACCCCCCAAATCAGTTTCTTTCTTTCTTTTTTTTTTTTTTTGGTAGAAATTTTTGCCTTAGAGAGTGTGTGCTCACTAGAGAGAGAGAGACAGAGATAGTGAGAGGGAAAGTGAAAGACCACCCCCCCACCAGGGGCGTTGGCCACTCTGCAATCCCTTCTCCTCCATTCTCCTCCCAGGATCTTGGGCATGCATGCACATGTGCCCAGCATGATTTTCAAGCCACCAGGTCTATGACTCAAACTATGGCTGGCCGTGTGAGAGTCCTGTAACAGAATCATTACACCATCTGCTGGTCCCCCTAAATCGGATTCTTAATTCTCCTAAAGGAACTTCTCAGAGCCAGCCAGAGTTCAGAGAAATTGTGCTCTAGTTTCCTCCAGTGGCACAAAACTGGTCTTAAACGAGACAGATGTGCCTCTCAGATTCCAGGAAGGAGGGAGAGGTCTACAGGGCTTCCTTTGTAGTATACATTGTATCTACTCTCTTACTCTCTGCTCTTTTAAGGAAAAAGATTTCTAAATCTAGTGACAGCTCTCTCTCTAAAGGGTCAATCCCTGAAAGGAGAATAATGATTAAGTCTTGAATGTGGAGCCAGCAGCAGCAGCACAACCATAACATCACACACCACAATGCTGAAATCCAACGGGAAGGACCTGGGTTTTCATCCCAAGGTCTGCCTGTGCATGCCAGGTACACAGGTGTCCATGATCCTGGCTGGCTGAGGCTGGGGTGATTCATGGCATAAGGATCCTGCTGGGGGTGCCTGTCCTTCTCTCGCCCCCTACTCCCCATCTCCCACTTTCATGGAGAAATAAGGGATAATAAAAAATAATAGCAAAGATCTCAATTACCCAGCTGGAGGGCTTTGAGAAGCTGCATTGAAAACACCACCTGAACTAGGTATGTCCAGGCTCTGACTGGGGTGATACAAATGGTAGGAGAGTCACAAGATGGCCCACATAGATGCTGTGCTCTTCTTTGAAGAAGACTGCCAAGAATGAACTAGTTAGAAAGGAAGCAGAAATTGAAGAAAGACATTGGGCCTAGCAGTCTGAGCCTTGCTCAGACTCCTCTACCACCCCAGCCCCAGGGTGTGTGCCTCCTGCTCGGGCCTGCTCTTGCTGAACACATTCAGAAGAGGGAGAGCTCAAAAAAAAACAGGGCCAACAAGCCCACATAGAAAAACTCAGTCCAAGGTAAGTGGTTAGGGAAGAAAGATGAAGAAAGTTGAGCTGAAGAAAGTTCGGGAGTGGAGAAAGAACATGGGAGCAGCTATCTTGAGTGAGACATACCGAGAGAGAAAGCAGGAAAGACCTTGGCTGGTGACTGAAGAATGTTAACCCCTTTTGGTGTTTACTTGAGAATCTACAGTGAAAATAATGGGTTTTCCATTTGTTTCTGATCAGCTGACTGCTGATTTGGGGCCACAGCTCCCTCTAAGGCTGGACCATTTATTATAGGCTGCTCACTAACAGCTCTCAACCAAATAACTTTTTTTTTCTCTTTTCTTATTGCCCAGAATAAAGGCCTAACCTAAACAATGACTTAACCTAAATAATGCCCAAGACTGAGTTCTGGCCAATGGAGACCACTATGGTTTGGATAATTGTTTGCCCCTCTAAAGTTCATGTTTCTTTTTTTTTTTTTGGAGAGTTGCTTTTATTTATTTATTTATTTGTTTTTTTGTTTGTTTGTTTGTTTATTTATTTATTTATTTATTTATTTGCTATAGGGTGCGTGCACTTGCCAGAAAGAGACAGAGAGACAGAAAGTGAGAAATCACCCCCCAGGGAGGATGGCCATGCTACAATCCCTTCTCTTCCATTCTACTCTTGGGATCTTGGGCATGCACACACACATCCCCAGAGTGAGTTTAAGCCACCAGGTCTAGGATTCGAACCGCGGTTAACTACATGGAAGTCCAGCGACATAGCCATTACGCTAACTGCTGGTCCCTAAAAGTTCATGTTTTGATATTTGGTTTTTAACTGCATTGGGAGGTGGTGAGACCCTTAATAGGAGAGCAGCCTTCAGTGTGAGTGAGCACCATTTAATCAGGTGAGAGTGTGGGAGGATCAAAAAGAGAAAATAGAAAAGTCTGTTTCCTTTTCCTGACTTACTTTCTCTCTCTCTCTCTCTCTCTCTCTCTCTCTCTC